GGCAGGAACTGAGAGTCCCTGTGGTGGGGGAAGGAGCAGCACCTGGAGGAGTCAGGCTGACCTGGGGCAAGGGTCCAGATGCTGTCAGAGGGTGAGTGTGGTGGGTCCCCGGTTCTGTACTTCCGTCTGACAGACACTTGGCCCACCTGCAGGTTCTCCTCTCCTGGCCATCGCAATGCTGGCTTCCCTTCCTCAGATTCCTCCATGTGCCTGCTCCACCAGGCCAGGGATGTGGCAATGGGTGAAAGCCTTATCCTGGCCATGCCATGGGAGTAGGCGGGGACCCTACTTTGCCCAATGTGCCCCCAGAAGTCTGGCTGTAAGCCGATCGTTCTCAAAAAGAGAGGCTCCGCCCTGGCTATGCCAGGCTGAAATGAAGTTGTAAAGTGTGGCATGAAAGGCCTCTTTGTCCTGGGACCAGGAGCCAGTGCTGTGCTTTGGAGGCCTTGAGCAGGAAGTGGGCTGGGCAAGCAGAGCTCCCTCTGTAGACAAAGGCGGTGTGTGCGTGGGTGGCTGCCTGGGGTGGGGGGAGTCTCTAAGGAGCTGATGAGTGTGCATCAGTCCACTTCGCTAAAATGCTCCCACAGTGTGCTCCCTCCCATGTACAAGGCATTGTGTCCGTGCCATCGTGTGCTTGTGCCTGTGTGTATGTGTCTCCACATTTGCATATCTGTGTCTTGTGCATGTGTGTGCACATTTGTGGATCTGCATATGTGTCTTGTGAGCATATGTCTCTGGTGTGCAGGCTTGTCTGTGCACATGTGTGCTTTGGTTGTGTAGTTATGCATGTAAGTGTGCACATGACTGAATGTGTGCATATGCATGCATATACATGTACATTTCTGTGAGCATGTGTTTACTGCATATGTGCCTTACATTCATAGAATTGTGTGTGCACATACTTATTTGCATATGTGCCCTGTGTACAAGTGTGTGTGTACACATATGTGTCCGGACATGTAGATGTGTGTGTACCCATGTGTACATGTAGTTATATACTTGTACATGCATGCCACATGTGGCTGTCCAAATTTATGTGCATTCACATATACTCATGTGTGCATGTGTCCACTTACACATGCATTTGAGTGTTCATAAGAGTGTATGTCTTTGCACATTACTTTGTGTACAAATGTTTGCACCTGTGTGTGCACGCATATTGGCTTGTGTGTGTGCATGTGTGTATGTGTACATGGCTACATTTGTGTTGCATCTGAATGTGTGTGCATGTGGCTGAGTGTGCAGGTGTGTATGCATGAACATTAGTGTATGTGCACATGTGTCTCTCTGCACATTGTATGATCATAGGAGTGTGTGAGTTCACAAGGGCACATTTACATATGTGTCCTCTATATACATATATGTGTTTTTACATGTGCTTTCTGCTACATGAGATTATGTGAGTGTGAGCAAATGTCTAAGCATTTGGCAGTGCACATATGCATGTGTGTGTATATATTTGAGTGTGCCTGTGTTTACTTGTGTGTGAGTGCAGTTTTGTGTCTGCATATACCTCTTGTGTGTATGTGTGTCATGTGTGTGCATTTATTTAGACTTATTTGTGTGCGTGTGTGCATTTGGTTGTGCACATTTATGTATTGACTTGTGTGCATTTATGTATGAATGTGTACATGTGTCTATCTGCGTATGTGCATGCATGTACTTGGGAGTGTGTACATGCATGTGTGTATTTGCATGTGTACCTTGTATACCTGTGTGCACACATGCATGGACTTGTGTGCACATTTGTACATTTTATCTGCCCATATATGTGTGTGTGTGTGTGTGTGTGATTGAGTGTGTTGTATGTATGTGTGTGTGCATGTTGATCTCCATACATGATGTTCACACATAAGTGTGCTGGTACATGTGTATTAGTGTAGGAATTTCCATGTTTGCATGCGTGTTCATGTATATTTTTATGAGCCAATGCAGGTGCACATAGCTGAGTGTGCATTTACGTATGCATGCATGTGTACACACACATAGGTACCTGTGCCCATCTACATATGTGCCTGTTTTTATGGAAGTGTTCTGTTCCCACATGTATTTGCATAGGTGCCTTGTGTGTGCATGTGTGTGTATGCGGGGTTTGTGTGTGTTCATTTGGTTATATACATGCACACATGTGTTTATGTTTGTGTGCACGTGTCTCTGTGTGACTGTCTGTCTGTCTGTCTGTCTGTCTCCATTCATGCATTGAGGGCTGGACCTGTCAGCCCCTCCCTTAACCTCAGACCCTGTGTCCAGGAATACAAGTCTCCTTGATCAAGGTCCCCATAGTCGAAGGTTGTGCATAAGTTTAACAGAAACCTAGACCACCAGCCCTGTGCTGGGCACCACAGTAGGGCTTGCAGACCTGCCTGCCCTCTGGCCTCACTCAGTAACACCCTGGCCTCTATGCCCATCCCCTCTGCATCCCTCGGGACTCCCACCAGTGCATGTCATCTCAGAGAGAGTTGGACCTGTAGGTCTTGTAGGGAACTGGGTTTCACTCTACAGTGGAAGGCCAGTCTGTCCCTGCACAGGAAAGGTTGGGGATGCTGGAAGTGTCCCTGGGCCTTCTTAGTATCCTAGAGATGCTGGCGACAAAGTTCCACTAGTGACTGGTTATAAACAGCAGAACTTTCTCTTCTCACAGCTCAGGTGTCTAGAAGTCCCCTCTTCAGACAAATCTTGGGGACAGGGCTCTCTGTTGGCTTTGGGAAACAGTCCTTGTCTCGCTCACTCCTCTAGCAGCCATCCCTAGAGTCCTGGGCTTGTAGGCTGTTTTGTCTCCATCATCTCCAGATGCCAGTCTCTCACCTGTGACATTTCTTCTGTGACTGTGCTGCTCCTTTCATGCCTCAGAAGGGATTGTTTTAAGACACATCCTACATTGGTGATGTTCAGTAACACAACAAAGAAACCCTCTCCTCAGGTAGGATGACACTCCCCTCGAGTCCTTCCATGTCACAGCCACCCTGCAGGGGTTCACAGGCTGTCATCTTTATGCAAAAGAGCTGGTGCAGTGGGTTGCACATTTGACTGCTATTGGCTAGGTTGGTGGTTCAAATCCACTACCTGCTCTTTGGGAGCAACATGAAGCCAGCTGCTTCCATAGATTTACGTTCTTGGAAATCCTACAGAGCAGTTCTTCTCTGTTCTATAGGGCTGAGTCAGAATCTACTAGATGGCAGTGAGTTTGGGGGTTAATCTTTAAGGCAGCAGACAAGTTCACCTTTCTCCCTCGAAGTGGCTGGCAGGTTCCAATCATTACCCTTTGGATTAACAGCTCAATGTTTCACCCTCACCACCAGGGTTCCTTATCCACAGGTGTAGAGAGAGGATTTACAGCACATATTTCGGGGGACTCTATCTATCTATCTATCTGTCTGTCTGTGTTCCTTATCCACAGGTGTAGAGAGAGGATTTACAGCACATATTTCGGGGGACTCTATTCAATCCATGGCACAAATTCTGCACAGGGTGGGAGGGAAGCACACATTGAAATTTCCTTTCAGTTGCACTCTGCCCCTCACATCACTCCCTTGGTGGTAGGCAGCAAAGAAAACTCCCCTTTCTCTTTAATTTGTCAAGTTCCTTCCCCAGGCTGGGCCACACATGTACATTTTCATCCTGGAGTCTTTTGGTGGTTTAAGGTTTTGTATTTGGTAGTGTCCAACATGGTTTCCTGCCATTTTTCTCTGTCACCAGAAATGTCACCTGGTTGGTCGGGGTAGCTGTCAGGGATGTTCCATGTGGATGATGAGTAGATGGAACAGAGGCCTGGGGACTTCGGACAGAGACCCCTTTGGTTCCTCCTGACTGGATGCGGGGAGCATGGAGGGCAGGTGCCTTTTAACTGAGGTCCATGTCTCTCGTGTGCAGTTGGCTCTCCCTCTTGAGGTGACCCCTACCCCTGGCCCTTTCAATGATCAGCAGTGAGTGGTGTCTTCCTGCAAGTGGGAAACCTCTCTCATTCTTGCTTGGAGTATTTCCAGCTCTGTCATCATTAAGGGGTATCTCTGTGAGGTCTCCCCATTCCAGATGAGTGTTGGATGACAAGGATGACCATCTGATGGACAACCTGGGTGGGCAGGGTGGGACCAACTGGTCGACTTATAGCACAAGCCCCACACACCGATGCTGTACCCAACCAGGCATCACTAATCAATCTTAGAGCCCCCAGTCACTCAGCCAGGAGTGACTTGGAGCAGAGATTAAGGTGGTTCTTGCAGGTTCAGAATTGACCCACAGAGGGCACCCTTCTTCTGTGACAGATGGTCTCTAGAGCATGGGACATCCTTTAGTCTGTCTTCCAAACTCCCCCACCTTTCCAGATCCACCCCTTTGGCTAGACCCCCTAAAACCAGTTGTCCCAGAAGCACCCCAAGTTCCGCACCCTCTCCAGACGTGATCTCTCTCCCAACTCCTCTGTCGCCTTTTATCTGCTCTTTACCCACAGGCCCAGTTCCAGAACCAGGGTGCAACACCAAACCACGAGCCCACGTTCCATCACTGTGAGCCACGTTGGTGGCAGAGACAGCAGAGCATTAATCTGAGGGTCAGGCCCACTGGGTGTAGGGAGCCGCTTGGATACTGTTTGGTGGGTCAGAACATAGACTCCCCCACCTCCCCTCGACTTTGAGAAATGGCGGGAGACTTTTCAGTAAATGTGGAGGAACGGGGAAGCTATGAGGGCAGGGGGCCGCCCTGGCTGCCTCAGAAGCACCCCACCTTGTGCCTTGCAGACAAAGAAGACCCTAGATTGTCTCCTCTGAGGAGGAAACAGATGCTGGTGTTTGTGAATTCCTCCAATGTGACAAGTTACTCAGTGAGGGCTGGTGGCTGGCCGAATGTGGGGAAGGACAACTGAACTGGGGGCCAGGGAGCTGTCTGTGAGTCCCCCCCACCTTGCAGGCCCACAGTGTGGGGACCCAGCCCCTAAACGACCCCACTGGGTATGACTGGCCCCCTAGCATGCAGCACACTGACCCACACTCTCTCTCTGCCCCCAGCCCGCATCATCAAGACAAAGCAGTGGTGTGACATGCTCCCATGCCTGGAGGAGGAGGGCTGCGACCTGCTCATCAACCGCTCCGGCTGGACCTGCACACAGCCCGGCGGGCGGATCAAGACCACCACGGTATGTGGCCATGCAGCTGCCAGTGTTTGTACACCCGGTGTTCAGGGGCTATGAGTATACAACAGCCAGGGTTCTCCAGAGAGATGGGATAGAGATGTGTATTCCTGTTTGTGTGTGTCTGTGTCTAGCTGTCTGTCATCTCTCTGTTCGATGTCTTTCTGTCTATTGATCTGTTTGTCTATCCATCTCTCTATCTATCCATACATACATACATGCATATATCCACCCATCCATCTGTGCATCCATCTACCCATCCATCCATCCGCCCATCCATCCATCCATCTGTCCATCCATCCATGCATGCATGCATCCATTCATTATCTGTCAGCTATCTAGCATCTGTCTATCTGTGAGCTATTTTTTCATTTATCATCTGCTGCTGCTGGAGTCCTGGTGTGGAACTGCAGGATAATGTGCTGGACTGCAAGGTCTGTTTCAACATCAAGGTTGGTGGTTCCAACCCATCAGCCATTCCTCAGAAACCCTATACAGGATCCCTATGAATCAGAACCGACTCAACGGCATCTGCAAAGCTTCAGATACTGCTGTGTACTGTCAAGTAGGTTCTGACTCTGGGACCCTGGATAGGATTTCTGAGGCTGTAAATCTACAAGAGCGGACAGTCACATCTTTCTCCCACAGAGCAACTGGGGGATTCGACCTGCTGAGTGTGTGGTTAGCAGTCCAACTTAACCCGTTATGCTACCAGCACCCCCTTATCATCTGCTCTGGGGCTTCAGAAAGCTCCTGGGAAAATTCCATTATCTTGTCATTCCATTTCCCCAGGACCTTTTTGAAGTCCCATTATATCCCTATCTATCTATCTATCTATCTATCTATCTATCTATCTATCTATCTATCTATCATCTATCTCTCTCTCTATCTATCTATCATCTATCTATCTATCATCTATCTATCTATCATCTATCTATCTATCATCTATCTATCTATCATCTATCTATCTATCATCTATCTATCTATCATCTATATATCTATTATCTATCTATCGTCTACCTATCATCTGGAGTCCTGGTGTGGTGCTGTGGGTTAATGCACTAGACTGCAAAGCCTTCTGAACTTCAAGGTCTGTGGTTCAAGCTCACCAGCTGCTCCTTGGAAACCCTATGCAGTGTTGCTATGGATTGGAATCGACTCAACAGCACTTAAGGACAAAACTATCATCTATCTATATGTATCTATCTGTTTTGATCTGAGAGCACTGATGCCAATGTAGGGTAACCATTGCTGGACTGCTGACCACAAGGTCAACTGTTCAGACCCACCAGCTGCTCCCCAGGAGAAAGCTGAGTCTTTCTTAGAGACTGGTAAGTCTTGTGCTCCCCAGGGTAGGATGTCTGCATGTTAGAGTGTGTGGCAGAGCTTTTCTCTGGGAGACACCATATTTGCTCTCAGGACCTTCACGGGGTCGGAGAAGGCCCACTCTGTTATGTAGGGTGAGCTTCTTCACATAGAGTCGGTGGTAAATATGTGAGTTACATGTACAGACCCAGCACTAGGCCAGTTTACCCAGGTCACTGGGCCATGCAAGGTTCACTTTCACAGACTGCGATAGGTGGAGCTGGCCTGCAGCAGAGCTAGGCCACCATCCCCACCTGTCTCCTCTCCCTCTGAGAACACTGGAAACAGCCTGGCCCTGCCCATTCCTTGGTTCTCAGCTCAAGGTCCTAGGAACAAGGGTGGAGGATCCAACAAGCACAGTGTGACCCGGGCCTACTTACGAGACTCTAGTGGACAATTTCACCATACCTGTTCACTCCAGATGAGTAAGTAAGAACAGGAAAGCGCATACTTACCTGGCTGACTGGGTCCTCTGCCCCTGTCAGAGACTGAATTTGCAAAGTAACTTTGATCCTGGGTAGGGAGAGAGATGCCAGCCAGACTTAGAAGTAGGTTCTCCAATGTGGTGAAAAAATCTGAAATTGTTCATTCCAGATAAGTAAGGAAGCACAGTGAAGTCTGTGTTTACCTTGCTGTATGTGTCCACTGACACTGTTTGGGAAGGTTCAGTCTGAGGGTCTGGGATCCCAGCAAACAGAACTGGAAACATGTGGCTTCCAATTCCTCTCCGGCTTACCCAGAGAGCTGGGGATGCTGGCTACCTCTAGCCAGAGGGCCCTCCTCCCTGCCTAAGACCCCAGAGCCAGCAGCTGCTTGGTCCGGGGGCCAAGCAGGTTCCAGGCGTATTCTGAGGTGAGGTCATTGCAGACTTGCCCTCATGAGTCCCTGCTCAAAGCCTCGTGCACCTGTGTTGGGGCTGCCCTGCAGGTAGGTTCTTAAGGGCTCTGGTGTCGCTGGCACTTCCTGAAAACTGGCCTCCATGGCAGCCTGTCCTCTGCTGACTGGGAGAGCCATGCTTTCAGCTGTACTGTGTTTATTCCATGTCAATGTAGAAGCCAGCCACTCTGTGGGGCTAAGCCAGCCACACCTGTGCAAAGGTGTGAAGCACCTGTGGGCTCATTATCAACACCTGCTGCCTGGAACCCTGGAGGAGGGATTCCAGGTGCTGTGGTGCTGTGTGTCCCTGGAGGAGGGTCCAGGAGGCATGCCTCTCCCGGACACGGCCTCTCCCTGGCTTTTCATGAGGGCCCCTTCACTGTTGTTGAAAGGAACTGGGTGAGCAACTGGCAGTATGGTGTTATGGGTCCATTTTCGATGCTCAAGCCCCTCAGACACCCTCCTTGACAGGGGGCCTGAGTGTGGCAGAAGATGCCCATTATGATATGCATTAGGAAAGGTGAGCCAAGCTTGGCCGGAGTGTCCTTAGTATCCAAGGGCCCACCACCCGCCCTCCCCACCAGGGGTGCTCCAAGGACCACACACGGGGAGCCGGCTTTTTTCTCAGTGTGGTTGTATGTGGCCGTACACAGTGTACACAAAGCCAGAAGTGGACATGGTCCGGAGCTGCCTTAGGAAACCAGGATGTGACCCTAAAGCTTCATGGTTGCTTTGTTCCTGGCTTTTGTTCCATAATTTCAACCTTTGTCCAGCTGGTGGAATTCTTTTGTGGATAAGTGAGGGCTTCCTGTCTTATTGAGTCTACGAGTTTCTCCCGGCACCATGCTCAGTTCTCTCAGGATTCTGAAGGGACCACATGAGCATCTTGGCCTGGGGCAGACAGAGGTCTGGCAGACAGCTGTCTCAGGCTCCAGGCACCTCCCCCCATTGTCTGCTGCGTGGGGGACCTCACTACCTGATACCAGAACAAACAAACAAAAAACCCACTCACCCCAGCGCCATCCCATCGATTCCGACCCCTAGCAACGCTATATAGAGTTATATAGTTTGTGAATCTTTATGGGAGCAGACAGCTTCATCATTCTCCCTCAGTGTGGCTAGGGGATTTGAACTGTTGATCTTGGGGTTCACAGCCCAATGCCTAAAACCAGTTGCTAAGAAGCCAACTCCAACTCCTGGTGGCCCCGTGTAAAATTGTACTCCACTCTAGGGTTTCCAAAGGCTGATTCCTCAGAAGCAGATCCCCAAGACTTTCTTCCAAGGTACTGTTGGGTAGACTCAAACCTCCAGCTTCTCAGTGAGCAGCTGAATGGCTCACCCTTTGCACTCCCCAGGAACTTTGGCACCCCCATACATGCCGGAATTTATAGCCACCAGCCCAGCAATGCTGTGTCTGGATCCCCACGGACTGCAGAAATGCCCGTCTCCTGTTTCCCAGCGGGAGTTGTGTCCCAGTGGGCTGCTGCCAAGCTCTGGATTTTCAGGGAGGTTGGTTTTAGCACCTCACTTATCTCCGTTGTCAATGATCCATCACTCATTAATTGCCACTTAATGAATTCCTTCTTTTCCTCGATGCAATTCCGAGGACACGCGGCCTGTGAACATCCACAGGCCGTTTCCTCTGGAGCTAACGGGCAGCAACCTCGGTGATTTTACTGCGGAACTAGCTGGAGTGGGGAATTGAGAAGCAGAGGATGCTCTGAAAGAGCTCGCAGTAGGCAGCAGTGTAGTTACTGGGATGTGGGTAGACCTGCTTGGCTTGGCCAGTGATGGTGTGGCAACTGGCCACCCCAACAGTGACCAGCACTGTCTTCTACGGCAGAAGGAAGCAGTGGGAACAAGATTCTGCCCTAACTTGGAGACTGTGTGCATCAGCCAGATATTCATGGAGACTTCTCTTTACCTCATAACCCTACTTCCAGCAGAGGCAGCTACATTCCCTGTCGGCAAATCTGTGTAATCTGAAAGCAATTAAAAAAAAGAAAGAAAACGTACCATTGAGTCAATTCCAACTAATGGCAGCCCTGTGTGTGGCAGAGTAGAACTGTGCCCACAGGGTTCTCAATGGGTGATTTTTCATAAGTAGATTCCACTCATGGTGCCCCCATGTGTGTCATAGTAGAACTGTGCCCCCACAGAGTTTTCAGTGGATGATTTTTCATTAGTAGATCCCACTTATGGTGCCCCCGTGTGTGTCAGAGTAGAGCTGGGCCCACAGGGTTCTCAGTGGGTAAGTTTTCATAAGTAGATCCCAGTCATGGCGCCCCCGTGTGTGTCAGAGTAGAACTGTGCTCCACAGGGTTCTCAGTGGATGATTTTTCATAAGTAGATTCCACTCATGGTGCTCTGTGTGTGTCAGAGTAGAACTGTGCTCCACAGGGTTCTCAGTGGATGATTTTTCATAAGTAGATTCCACTCATGGTGCCCTGTGTGTGTCAGAGTTGAACTGTGCCCCACAAGGTTCTCAGTGGATGCATTTTCATAAGTGGGTCCCACTCATGGCACCCCCCATGTGTGTCAGAGTAGAAGTGTGCTCCACAGGGTTCTCAGTGGATGATTTTTCATAAGTAAATTCCACTCATGGCACCCCCATGTGTGTCAGAGTTGAACTGTGCCCACAGGGTTTTCAGTGGATGAGTTTTCATAAGTAGATTCTACTAATGGCTCCCCCACATGTGTGTCAGAGTAGAACTGTTCTCCACAAGGTTCTCAGTGGATGATCTTTCATAAGTAGATTCCACTCA